CCAGCCATAACAGCCATAAACCAGCCATGAAACTGGATGTGCAAAAAAACAACAACAACTGGGATAGCATCTAATAGTAATAATAGTAATACATTTTTATTTCATTAATATTGATTATTACTGAAAGGTATTTTTGTTGTTGTTGTATTTTAAATTATTGCCATATCAACTTCACCAGCTGAACCCACTGAATCAAAGAAATATCACTACAATACTACTGTACTTAATAATAATAATAAATATTAATATTAATTTATATTTTAATAATAATACTAATATTTAATATTAATTTAATATTATTATTATCATCATTATTATTATTATTATTTAATATAACAGAATAACTACAGTACTAATATTTATGGTTGTTTTTTACTTTGCTCTCAAATGTTAAACCATAGAGCTTTTATTATTTTGGTGGAAAACCAAAAAATGGAGAAACTTCTCTTTTGAAAACCCAGACAAAAAAAACACAACACACAAGCAAAACAGACCAAGCTGCACGTCACTGACCAACCAATAGCCCAAATAACCAGTCTTTCTATATGTAAATCTGTTCCAGTGTACCTGCTCATCAGATGCTAGTGCTGTAAAGAGAGGAATGATGTCACTCTTAGCATAGTCCAGCTCCAGAACCTTTGCAAACTCGCCCAGCTTAGAGGCGGCAGCTCGACGCACCATGGGAGTGTCACCCGAGCAAAGTGTGAGGAAGTGCCTGTGAAGACAACCATAACATTAAATACTGAATATGACCGCAGTGATCAAGGTGAATTCAAAAGTGCACGGCATAAAAACAAGGCATCATTTGAACTTACTGACGGATTTCCGCTTTAACCGTACTGGACACACGTGGGTAGCAGACGCTGAACAGTCCGCACGCAGACGTTCGGGAGGTGAACCAGTCCCCGCTGGACAAACGCTTCACAAGTGGTACAAAATGCACCTCTAGGTCTACGGGGGAATGTTCCTGAGAGATCTTTCGCAGAGACTCCACGGCCTTGTCCCGCACAACCGTTTCCTCCACTGTGGCCAAACTCTCCAGGGGAGGCTGAGGAGAAGAAGTGCAAGATGAAAACATGTAGAGAGTTGTCTCAACTTATGGCTAATATCTAGGGATGTAACGATTCACTCAACTCACGATTCGATTTGATTCGATTCACAATTTGTTTTTAACAAAATTAGTTTTAAGACAAATTATAAATTAAATGTGTCCTTTTATTATTGCTTGAACAAAATAATGTACGTTTCTTTGTGAAACTGAAATATAACTAATAATATACTAATATAGCACTTGCATATTATTGCTCTTTTGTTGGTTTTGATTGCTTCTATTGTCCTCATTTGTTAGTCGCTTTGGATAAAAGCGTTTGCTAAATAACAAAATTTAAATATAATGTAAATGTAAATAACAAAACTAAATTGAAATTTTAAAACAAACCCCTAATCAAATAAATAACACAAATAAAATAAATCTCTTCATATAAACAAAGGCTTTGTCTGTGCTCTTTCCATTTAAAATTAGAGGCAACCACTGCATTTTAATTATGATCCAAACAAAGATGCTGCATACATGCAACATGAGCAGTTTTTAATCTAAATTACATTGTATAATTTCAAAATCTGAAGCAAAAACAGAATGGTTTGACTTCAGTTGTGAAACTATGCATAAAAAAAATATCTGCACGCAACAGAAAGAGCAGACGAGCTGAACGACACACAGATTCACTCTCTGCCAGCAGGTGGCGCTTAAAGCGTTTCCTTGGTTTCCGCTGTAAACAAAGCAGCGCTGCACTTATGAACTTTAGAATGCATTATACAGAGGCAAGGGGAAAAGAAAAAATACCATCGAAAGACAGTAAGTGCCCCTCAGACATACATTCATATAAACTCCTACCCTAATTGAATCGCGATTTGTTTAGCATCTCAACCGATTTGAATCATCACATATTTAAATCGATTT